AGAAACCAGCAGAAATTAGTCATGGTTAATGGGATTTCAGATAGTCTCAATTAAGGCTGCAAGCAGGGAGCCAACTGGGTGAAAAATGAGGACAGAAAAGAAAGAAAGGCTAGTGAGCAAATTAAACTCAGTATGATTTGTTTTGAAGAAAATGTGGTTAGGATTGTGCTGCATGTTCTGTTTTACGGCTTTCGGTGGGATAACTAATCAAAGTAATGGTTGCTTGTTTCTTTTCTCCCCTTCCCCGAGAAGCAGCCTCAGAAGCTGCAGTCGAGAGTAAAATGGGGAGGAGGGACTGGTTAACCCATTCACTATTTGTCTGCTCAAAAGCCATCCACAAGCAGCTTTCCCTCTGGTGGGTAACAAAACTTGGGGTTCCCAGTTCGGAACAGGCAGTTTTGAGCAGGCAAGTAGTGGGGTGGAGAATTAAGTGTCTCCTCTTTCTGCTGCTCTTCCACTCCTGATGCCAGCCTCCAAACCAGCTTTTCACTAAAAAGAAAGGTACACACAACTGCCTGTATACCATGGTTTAGCCCATCACATCTAATTTGAGCTGGATTGTGACCTCAGGTGAGTCCTTAAGGGGTTTACTCATTACTACCATAAACCACATTGATCTGGGATTATGATCTGGGTCATAAAAACCAGAGCACTTCAGTGTGAATTAAGATCCAAAATCTTTAATAGGTATTTGATAAATCTTCCCCAAATCCTGTTAATGTCTCACAGTCATAACACAACACATAGATTATAGTAATAATCTTATTTTAAATCCCTTCTCAAATTTCTGCAGAATCAATGGATGCTCTCTAACGTATGTCAGCATGCAGATAAAAAGTCTGTGGGGAAATCCAGTGAAAGTTTAGTAGTGTTAATTCCATTTGATTTCAGCGGGAGATAATCAATCATGTATTCAATTCCCCTTAAAAAACTTAAATGTGTTTAAATTTGGCTCTATGGGTCTGTTATTCAGAGGCGGTTTTAAATTAAATCAAACTAGTGTTTCACTTACTTGAAATTTTGTTTTTTCTGAATTCTTCAGTAAAAGAACCCTTCTCAGTATCTCATGAGGAAACTCAGAGCAAAATTTCTAAAATAGCACAATGCCTGCACAAGATGCTCTGCCTGTGGTTCACTGGGTCAGGCGTTGTTCATTGCTTTCCCCCTGAAATATTAGTTGGGAATGGCAATAACCTGCCTTGCCAGCTTGCAAAGATCCTGGAATCTTAGAATTGGAAGGTGCCAAAGGATCATGCCCTGAGGCAGAACCATCCACCTATCAGGCACCCGTTTAGACTGCAATCCTGCAAAGAAATTTAATAAATGATGATGATAAGTTACCTAGGAGTAAGCTCTATTGAAACCAGTGGGACTTTCTTCTAAATAAACATGCATAGAATCACCCTATACCAGGAGGGGAGAAATAGATTCCTCAGCACCTCCAGCATGATTGGCATGGGCATAGGCATGGGCATTCTGCACAATGTGTGCCTGTCAGATTTCTTCTAGACACTCTGCAGACAAATCAATCACATGAACCACCAGGGCTTTCCACCATTAAGGGATCTTGTATGAGAGTGCTGTCTGAAAGGAATGAACCATCAGTGCTGCCTCTTAGTGATTGCCATGGACATATTTTAACTGTTTCACTGTCAAAAACGCAGCTCTACAAGACAGCCTATCACACTTGGATCTGAAAGACTGGGGCTCCGAAAGGACTGCTGTAAAAGTGAATGGCAGAAATTTGTATGCTTGAGTTCAACAGTTTTACATGCTATAGGCATGGTCATTAATAGCAAACAAGCATGACTTTATCTTGAACTAGGAATATACCCATCCATATAGCCCAGCTCACAAGCTGGCCAGGTGGGATCCAAGAGAGAAGTGCATTGCTTAATGCACCCTGACTGGGACTTACGTGAGCCATGGTTCAAATCATCTAGAGAACAACTGTCTCTGGAAAGGCATGAAAGTCAGCATCTGATGAGCTTCTTAGAGGAGAGAGTGCTCCATAAATTGGGTGTAAGGACCAAGAAGGTTCTCTCTCCAGTAGTTAACTGCCTTATCTCCAATGGGGTGGTTAGGGTGGGGCACTGAGAAGAGGGCTTTTGAAGATTATTATGAATGTCTGGGCAGGCTATGACTTTACCCAATGACTATGTACTGTACTGGACGCAGGTGACGCTGTGGATTAAACCACAGAGCCTAGGACTTGCTGATCAGAACGTTGGCGGTTCGAATCCCTGTGACGCGGTGAGCTCCCATTGCTCGGTCCCTGCTCCTGCCAACCTAGCAGTTCGAAAGCATGTTAAAGTGCAAGTAGATAAATAGGTAAGGTAAGGTAAATAGCATTTCCGTGTGCTGCTCTGGTTCGCCAGAAGCGGCTTAGTCATGCTGGCCACATGACCCGGAAGCTGTTCGCCGGCTCCCTCGGCCAATAAAGCGAGATGAGCACCGCAACTCCATGACTGGACCTAATGGTCAGGGGTCCCTTTACCTTTACCTATGTACTGTACCAGATCTCACAAATTCTAAAAGGAATTCAGCCTGGAAGTTCAACCAGTGTATAATTACTGTACTAACCAGCCAACCTTTGCTTTTTTAAAACAACAACAACCTCCCTGATGTATAATGGAAAGCAGGGATACAAACAGTATCTTGCTAACTTCTGCCAGGATCCAGGACCACAGGAGGCTCTGAACCAGAGATTCAGTCTGGGCACAGCATTAAAGTCTGGCCAAAGGAGAAAACTGCAAGGCTGGTTGCAGATGTACATAAAAATACAGCAGTGAACCTACTGTAGAAGCGCACACATACAGTTTTCTGTTGGTACACATGCAGCCCCACCAATGTAAACTGTGAAAGCAATAAAAGCATGTGTTTGCCAATATCCTTGACATGAATTCACTCATCAGAAAGGTGGGATTGGCTTCCACTCCTTTGGGAGTGTGCACTCAGTGGCAAATAATATAACGTGCAAATTGCACCTCTCTGATTAGGAACCCTGATCTCGGCATCAGCTAGTCAAAGCACATCCACAGAGCATGGGAGTTCAAAGCTCTTTCCTCCCTCTCCCTTTCTCACGCAGCCGTAAAGCAGAAAACATCTCTCTAGGGAAACATCAGCAGTAGCTCTTTGTGTGAGGTTTGCTCTCATCCATCTGTAATCAGGCAGGAGGCAGAAATCTGGGGCAAGGATTCCAAGATGAGTAATAAGAGAATCCTGGTGGTGTGGGGGGAAAGGTGGGGGGAAGGCCCTAGGGCCAATATCTTGAATGTACAGGGGTGTGAAATAATATCTAGCTTCATCAAACAACTTTCGAGATATTGCCACCAAGCATTTTACACTGGCCTACTAGTAATACCATGTGCAGTGCAGGAGTTGACACTGGAGTAGAACTATGTCTTTGACTTTAATAGAGTTCTTAACAGGAACAGAAGAAAATAACAAATGAATCCATTTCCAAGAATTTATGTTGTTGCCTTTATTAATCTGAGTAACTGGTGGGTATACGGATATCAAGCAATGCGGCATGAAAATAATAAAATTAATGTTTTAAGCAATTAATAACACAGAGACAGGAGTATGCTAGTGGGGAATTAAAGCAATAATTAGTTCAAAGCAAAACTGAATAGGATTTGGATCCCCTAATGCAGTATCAAATTTCATAAACTTCTACTATCAGGTGCTCTAATATGTAACATGCCCCCAGGTTTTTCGTAATATATAGTATTTCAACAGAAGAGAAGAAAACTCTGTCTCCCGAGAATTAATTAAAATGTGACTAGAAAGAAAATGTGCTCTGATGATAGGGACAGAATGGCTGTGGGGTGTGCGATGATAATCTGACCCAAGCATGTGTCTATTTGGTTTTTGGTTTTTTGTTTTATCTCAATATATCTGTTTGTTCATCTGCTTGTATGCACATTTGTGCACATAGCCTATTTCTTTAACAGGTAATGTTTGTGAGCCATCAAAGAGATTGCTTACAGAGAGTACTAGAATGCAACTCAAATGTATGTGCTCAGTGCAACAGCCAAGTACAGTGGTGCCTCAGGTTAAGAACTTAATTCGTTCTGGAGGGCCATTCTTAACCTGAAACTGTACTTAACCTGAGGTACCACTTTAGCTAATGGGGCCTCCTGCTGCCGCCACACAATTTGTTCTCATCCTGAGCAAAGTTCTTAACCCAAGGTACTATTTCTGGGTTAGCGGTGTCTATAACCTGAAGCGTCTGTAACCCGAGGTACCACTGTATTCATCATCCCCTCATTATACACACACACACAGTCACCCTCCACCCAAGTCCCAAACCTAGACACACACATCTTACCCAGTTAAGGCCAAGTGATTTACCAGAATATACCACAGCTATGATTAAATTGCATGAATTATTAAAATGCAATTTAAAAACAACAACCTTATGGGCAGAAGTAGAGGGGAACATGACTGTTCACAAACTAATAGCCTATCCTTACGGGAGAAAGATTGCTCCCATATACAATTTAGGTGATGGTCTTGCGGGGGGAGGTAATTAAAAATATTGGCAATGTGTGTGATAAAATGTGTGTGTGACTGACACACACACACACACACACACACACACACACACACAGACCATGAACAAGGAGATGCAGTAGTAATAATGGATAGAAACCTGCCTGGGACTGAGGGTATGTGTGCCCATCATCTTCTCTGCAGTATTTACCCTGAAGTTAATTTATTATAGCAAGATGAAGTTGCCATCTGTCCTCTTGCTATGCTGGAAGTGGGGCTGCAGTTACTTCCTAGCAGATCTTGGTTTCCCTCTTGCGAGTCTCCCCTAACCACTGCTTATGAGTAGGCTTTTAAGTGCCTGATAATATAACTCCTGATTACAGCAAAGGAGGTAAAAGTAACGTGTGCATAAGGCAGAGGGGAAGCGAAAGGATGGGATAGGAAAGGAGAGGGAGAACCTAAAAGGAACTGGCTTACGAAGGGCGGTGCATTTTCATTTTTACCTCTATCTTGTCGATCCTGTCTTTCAGCGACCTGACAGCCTCCTCGAGCTCCTGGATCATGGCCGGCGAGTCCCAGGGCAGGTCGCCCATGGTGTCTTGCCTGGGGACGCCCCAGACGGAGGGGCTATCCTGGAAACTAAGTTCAAGGCCGTTCTCGCAGCGGCTCAGCTTGGTGGTCAGCTCCCGGATGGTCTCCTGGTCAATGAGGATCTGGTCTTTCTGCTGCTGCGCCGTCAGCCGCAGCTGCTCGGCCGTGCTCTGGAGGAAGAGCAGCTCTTCGCTGGCGGCGGCCGCCCCGGGGCTGTCCCCCTGCGGGCTCCCCTCCGACGGGCACTCGACGGTCAGCGGGGTGCACAGGAAGCGGCTGAAGAGCTGCTGGTGCTGCTGCGGCCGGGCGCTGGCCAGCAGGTCCAGCAGCGCGTCGTGGGGCCCCGCCGAGAAGCCCCCGTAGGGGCTCTCTCCAGCACCATGGAGAGCGCCCAGCGTCTTGTCGGCCGAGCCCGAGGCGGGCAGCAGGGCCGCGGCCGCGGCGTTGGAGCCATTGTCAGCACCTTGGAGAGCTCCTTTGCCGCCGGCCGCAGGGTAGACGCTCGCGATGATGCAAATGATTGCACCAAGGAAAGCCAGCATCCCTGCGGCCAGGAGCACCACCAGAAACTTCAGGGTGGCAGCTTCGAGGGGGACCCCAGCCAAGAGAAAGCGGCACCCCGAGGGGGGGAGCCGGGGGTGGGAGAGAGAAAAGGGGCGGGAGGGGAAAGCGGCACGAGGTGGGGGAGAGAGGAGCCGGGGAGCTGGAGAGAGAGAGAGAGAGGGGACCGGCTGCTGGAGAAGCCCCGGCTTCCTTCTGCCACTTGAACCAAGGCTGTTGATTATATCTTGATTGGAGAGCGCGAGCGGGGACGTCATCGACTCTTCCTCTCCGGGCCCCTCCGGCGGCTGCCTCGTAACCCTTTCGGCGCCGGGAGGAGCGGAGGAAGGGCGCTGTTGGTGCTGCCTCGAAGAATCACCAGCTCTCTCGCTCTCTTTGTCACACACACGCACACACACGATCCAGCAGGCATGTTTTTTTACACTGGGGCGGGGAATGGAGGGCAATAGCAATCGCCCTGGGAGCACTTCTTCTTTTGGGAAAGGGGAATGAAACCGCGGTGCCCGGGATTGTTTCCCGTCGGATTGAGATGTAAAGAGAGCAGCGTGATGACGATCGAGAGCTGACAGTGAAAGGGCGAGGAGGAAACATGAGAAAGTCACGTTTCCTAGTTGCTCTTTGCCCCTAGCCCTTCTCCAGCGAGAAAGGTTTGGTCCGTATGTGACCCTTTTAGCACTAGCCATACTTTCGAGTTAAGCGAGGCACAGGTTAGGTTGGAGGGTCTATAATATAATGCTATAGAGACTGAGGGGGCTTTCAGTGCTCCGGTAAAGAGGCCAATCCCAGATTGATTTATTTCTATTTTTGCTAAAGGACCAACAAAATCACATCAGAGCTCCTTAACGATTCTTGAGTGAATATCAGCTCGAGCAACCCCTGTGGCACATTCCTTTTTGTCAATTGCATGTCTGTCACCTCTGTGTGAAATAGCTCTTCAGATGCAGTACCGGGGGAAATGCTTCAAGTGTGGATCTTTCTCCATCTCATGCAATTAAGAATGAGTCAAGGAGTTCTCTCACACTTTCCCTTTTGTCTGTGGTGCTTCTTTTCCACACCTTTGCCATCTAATAGTCCTTCTACCTCTCTGGCTGGTATCTGGTTTCTGACGTACTTTAATAAATTTCTATGATCCTTTGTTATATACTTCCTCACCTGTTTTGCTTAACTTGTTGTAAATTTATGTTTGGTTTATCAGGATTAACCTGTTTTAAAATTCTCCATTTTGGACAAGGCTGCCACTTTTAAAAAGCTCAGTGCTTCAATTTAATTACAGTGGCATCCTTTTAGATGTGTTCTGAAATTTCTTCTAATATGTTTTATTTGAAATCTTACTTCCTAAACAGATCTTACCTTTCAGTGCTCTTCTAAATAGTTGATTCATTTGATAGAACTTTGTAATGGAATATGAATGCACTGGATTTTTTTATCATTGTAAATTATTATTTATGAAAGCAGAAAATCTTATATGACTACATGGCCTTCTAATATGCTTCAGGAATACAAAAACAGGGGACAGGAAAAGAATAAATGAAAACAGGATACAGGACCACCACCATTTGCTGCAAGTCTAAATAATTAATTGTAAAATGCAGTATGACAAAACATGTTAGCATCATTATAACTCTGGCAAGGTTTCTAGTTGTGTGCTTTCTGTATGAACTCTACTATTCCAAAATATCACATTTCTGTTAATACTTTTTGTGCAATAATAATGCTTTGTCATGACCGGCTCACACCTTCAAAAGTGCCAGCAACATAGCATTTTTGTCTGGATTTTGAATTTCTGGATTTTTTAAAGCAGTTTTGCATTCTCGTATCTGTTGCCTGCCCTAATCAGAGTTCCCCAGGAGCTTCAAGATGCTTACAATAGACCCTTTGCACATTATAGCATTAAAACAAGAATAGTATTTTGTCTTGACTGATCCAAGACACAATTGTTTGTTATTTAGAAATTGTTTCTTTAGCATGACCTGAGTTTACATCTACCTAGTCTTCTGGCAGTTAAAAATCGCTCATTAGTTTCTTTGCTTTTGCTCCCTTCCTGATTTTTTAGTATCTGCAACTCAACTTTCACCATTATTATGAACTTTCACCAGTAACAGTTCCTAGCACTATTTTGCTTTCTTCCCCTCTCTCTCACCCACCCCTCTCTCTATTCCTCTGTGGGACTTCTGTATGGAGTGGCCAAGACCCAATGAAACCGCCAACAACTTTTGCCTGCCTATGGGGCTGTGGATTTTTGTGACTACTAAGACCCAGCATGGGTTCTCAAAAACAAGTCACGCCAGATGAATTTCATTGCTTTTATTAATAGAGTTACAAGCTTGATAGATCAGGGGAGTGTTGTGAACACAGTAGAAATCTGCACTAGATTGCTGATTTATTTTTTTTAAAGCAAGCTGATGTGAAAATGCAGAGGACCATAGTTAAGATTAAGAAAATGAGAAAACAACAAGGACATATTTGCACACCTCTAGTTGGAGCTAAGGAGGTTGATGAGGGACTGTTGGGTATTGCAGATAATAGCAGAGAATCAAAATGCTTTGTCTATGCTTTGTCCCAGGTGCCTGGGAGCAATGATTAAGACTAAAAAGCTAGAAGAAATGATGCCAGGAAAAAGCAGCTGTACAGGAACTGAAGAAAGCCACAGTAGATGCCCACAGTGGAAGCTGATTATTGTAAATACTGGAGAGGATCATTTATTTTGAATGGTGGTTTAAATAATCATTAAATAGTAAGCTAGTTGCTTTGATCAGCAGCAGGCTGGTGGCAGAGGTGTGGGAAAAACACTTCATTGATTTCTCTACGCCATGTATTCTGCAAAAAGGAAGAAGGCAGAATTAGGCTCCTGTAACTGACAGACCCCTCTTTGGAAGTATTGCATAAGTCTGCCAGCTATTGAGGCAAAAGCAGACTGGGAGGTCTATCGGCCAGAGTTAAGTATCGTGCCCATTATAAGCAATTGGGATGGTGGAGTGAAAGTGAATTACTGGCAGCTGGCTTGATTGGATAAGCCAGGGGTAGGCAGCCTAAGGCCCAGGGGCTGGATGGGTCCCAATCATCTTCTCAATCCAGCCCACGGACGGTCCAGGAATCAGCGTGTTTTTATATGAGTAGAATGTGTGCTTTTATTTAAAATGCATCTCTGGGTTATTTGTAGGGCATAGGAATTCGTTCATCCCCCCCCCCAAAAAAAAATATAGTTCGGCCCCCCACATGGTCTGAGGGACGGTGGACTGGCTCACGGCTGAGAAATGTTGCTGACCCCTGGGATAAGCTTTCCTGGTCTGGCAAAACAAGCAAACGAAACAAAAAAACAAAGACTCGTTCAAGGCCTCAGATCTACAGTTTGGATCAAAGCATGACTCGCTTTGGGGGTTCTGGACTTGGCACAAGCTAGGGAAGCTCAGGTGCCAACACTGGCTACAAGTGCTTAGGTTACAGCTGGCATACCAACTGAATGAAGAACTCTGGCCTTCCCTTGGTTATCAGTGCATTGATGACATTTTGGCAAGACTACTACAGCACATTTGACCTAGGGTTGCCTTTGAAGATGGTTCAGAAATTTGAGCTGCTGCAAAATGCAGCCACCCAAATACTAGGGAAGCCCATTCATGTGATACCTATGTTGCACCAGCTACACTGGATGAGTCGTTCAAAGTTAAAGCCTGAAACTTTCTGGGTTTGAGTTACTTAAAAGACCACCTTCTCCCAGACCAGCCTGCTCACATGTTGAGTTCTACATTGGATACACTTCTCACTTGCCCGCCTCTGAGAATAATTAGGTTGGTTGGCCTGAGAGGACCCTTTTCTGCAACAGCCCCACGCTTTTTCAGTCGGGCTCCATCCCCCATTAGGAAAGTCCTCAAGACCCATTTCTTTTTGCTGTCTCTTCCAAGGGAGTCTGGGTTGCAATTATGTATTGGATTTTAGCATTTGTGTGGGTGGGTGTCTGTTTTATTATTGTTGCTGGCATTTATTAATTATTTGGTGCTTGTGCTTGCATTGTATTCTGGAAGCTAATGGAGAGCATGCCTGTAGAGATATGATGGCTTTTAGAATTAGGGCTGCAATCCTAAACCCATTGGCTAGAGAGAACTCAGCACTGAACACAGTGGAACTTACTACTGAGTAGACCTGTACAGAATTGCACTATGCATGTTTTGATCATTCCTCATGACAAGGAGTTGAAATAAATGCTTAGGAATAAATGCTTTATAAGTTTTAGTGTAAAGCAAAAGATAAACGGGGTGAGGAGGAGGAAGGGCACTTGGTTGCCAAACAGATCAGTCTGGAGTGTAGGTAATTAAAGAGAGACTGTTGGAAAGGATGAGTTCTTATGTTTTGTCCAATCCACTTCCTATAAGGGATAAATATTCTATTTTGCTAATAGTAAATGCTGCCTCTAATGGTCTGGATGAGGATAAGAGTGTTATCTGGAGAGGAAAATATTTATTGGGAAACTGACTGCAATTACTCGAAGTGCTTGACTAGAGGAGAAATGCCTTTGTAAATAATTAACTGTGAATCCTGCTGTGTGCTTTAATATTTGCATGTGTATCTGTGTAGATATTATTTTTCCAGGAAGAATGCTGTTAAGCATTATGAAGAACTTGTCTGGGAACAAACAGCTTGGTGAAGGGGGATGGTGGAATTTTAACAAAGGGTTCTTAATGGTATTGACTGGTCAGCAGGTGTCATAGTCTGGAATCCAGTGATCGGAACACAGGAAGCTGTCTTATGCAGAATCAGACCACTGGTCCATCTAACTCAGTATTGTCTACATTGACTGGCAGCAGTGACTTTCCAGGGTTCGCTCCTCCTGTGGTTTCAGGCATACAGCCTCTGACCATGGAAGCAAAGCATGGCCATCACAACTGGTAACCATGGATAGCCTTTACCTCCGTGAATTTGTCCCATCCTCTTTTAAAGCCATGCAAGTTGGGAGCCATCACTGCCTCCAGAACTGTTTTCTTTTGTCTGTGTTCTGAGAAGGTGGGGCAACTTTTCTTTTTCCACTTTTCCATGCCATACATAATTTTATGCACTTCCATCAAGTTGCCTCTTAGTCAAACCAAAAAGCCCCCAGTGCTGCAATATTTCCTCATAGATGAGTTGCTCCATCTCCTTGATCATTTGATTGTCCCTTTCTGAATCTTTTCAAACTCTTTGAGATGAAGCAATCATAATTGTCCATGTTATACCAAATGTGCTCACACCATAGACTAGGCATAGGCAAACTCAGCCCTCCAGATGTTTTGGGACAACTCCC